GCTCCCCATGAGGGGCTTTCACAGGAAAACAGCTGCTACGCCCAGTAACACACACGCCTACACTTCCTCCAGAGCTGAGCGGAGAAAGCCGCTGGACAGGAAGTGCCTACACTTCAGAGAGAAGCTCCATTAAGACAGGAAGGTGTATTGATTAGATGGCGGATGTACTCTGCACCGCCACATCCTAAAGCAGCAGAAGAAAGGAAGTCACCGGAATGAAGTAAAAATGGTGGAAGCGGAACAAAGAGAGTGGGAGTGGGCTCGCTGGATTCTAAGAGTTGGTGCTTTTAATTCAGGGTATGAAATGATGATGATGATGATGAGCAGTAAGTGTGTTTAATAATAAAAAGTTAGTTTCTGTTAGTTTCTGTTATCTTAGCCAATCATTTATGCCCCCAGTGTTTACCTCCACAGGTGCCCTCAGCAGCATTTTGAATGTGCAAATCCGTCTCGTTAGGTATTTGTGTGGTTTGGAGGCGCTCCATCCTGTTCTTTTCTTTCCTGCCTCCAGACTTTAATCGGCTCAGTGAATGAAGCAACTGTTCTTCCTGTTCCCAGGACGGCCACCCCGACAGGCTGCAGTGTGGGCTGGAGGTGGGAGGAAGACTCTTCCTGCTGGAGCTGGAGAAGAACCAGTGAGTGAGCAGCGTGACATTAAACAGCACATGTACAGAACGTGACGTTAGTCTGAGCTGATATAAATAAAATGTTGCAGCCGTCACTGCGCATCGTGTCGGAGGCATTTTTCATTTTATCGCTGCTGTTTGATTCTGAATTCTTTCTCAGTCGTCATCGTACACTCGCTGTTTCTGACTCGATCACTTCCTGTTGACATAGTTTACAGCTGATATGTGGGGATAGTCAGAGGCTTTATTCTGAGCCCCTCCCACTATCAGCTGTCCTTTGCTGTTGTAATATTTAACAGTTTTGGGGAGCCGTGCTCTGACACCAGCCTGGTAGTGAACATCGCGGGTTGTTACGCGAGGGCGCGTCACTCGTTTGCATGTGATTCTGTTAATGCTGCTGTTTGGTTCTCGTCGTCTCTCACACACTTTGACCTTTGTCGTGTCTCTTTAGCGACCTGCTGCCCAAACCGCCGAACGTCTTCTACTACCTCCCCAACGGTACCGGAGTGTCTGTAATGGCCAACCCTGTGGTGAGTCAGCGAACGCACCGCAGCCGTCAGACCTTCCCCTTGGAGTCGTCCAGCTGTGACAGATGTGCTGTTGTGTTTGTGTCGCCTGCAGACTCACTGTTATTACCACGGCAGCGTCAGAGGCTTCCCCCAGTCCAGAGTGGCTCTGAGCACCTGCTCAGGACTCCGGTCAGTACCAGGGTTTTAATAGTTTTGCAGTTTTCATTAGTTTTTATTTTTATTTAGTTTTGACTTCAGATTTTCAATTTTATATCAGTTTTAATTAGTTTTTACCAATTGTTTGCTAGTTTAGTTTAGTTT